ATAAACATCATGATTAAACTAGCCCATGAAGATGATCCATGTACAGTCATAACTGCTTTGACAGAGTTGCTGCTTAATCCAACCAGCAGGCAGTTCAGCTCAAGATTAGGAGGGAAAAGAAAACATTCTTAACAGCTAAATGAGAAATGTCTCCTCAATGATCTGGATACAGTTTCAAAGTATATGTAGTTACAAATCTGGAAAGAACTTTTTTTGTTAGCCGTCTTGCCTTTACCCCGTTTCTCCTTAGCAAATCAGAAATGGCAAATCATCAACAAACATAATTATGGCCAAAATGTATGCTAAATGCTAAGCCTCTCTTTTTCCATCCAAGTAATAATGAATACTTTTATGATTAAGTTTATATTAGATAAAATTGACTATAGATTCTGAATTTTCACAGGCAATGGTGGATCCTTGACATTCATAGATAATTTGTCTTAACCCTTTTTTAGACTGGGGTTACAACCTCGACTCTACCAAAGTTCTTCCTGAGTATTACTAACCAGAGTTAAGGTTTAAAAGCCGACTGAATCAAGTTTTCCTCACTTTTGTTACCTATTGGGGCACTAATGAACAGTTAAATAACAATTGCGTAAAAAAGAAGAGTAAAAGCATAGATAATCAATGAATTTTATATCCAATCTGTGATTATACAAGCGTAGGTATTTTAAATATCAGAAAGCTGATGCTCTGACTTGCTTCATGAAACTCAAAAAATAACAAACACTACATGGCACCGTTAATGGTGGTCTCAAGACACAAATTGTGCACAAAGTAACGTTCACAGAAAAGTTCACTAAAAGTGTCTTGCTTGCCACCATTCCAATACAATCAAAAGAGAATATTTTCAGAAATTTTGAGTCTTGAAGATGAAAGCTGTTATACAGATGAAAAATACAGCCCTAACAAAGTTGAGCATTCAGCTAGTATTAATTGGTATGTCTGTACTGGTTATTAAAATATTGAAATATTTCTGTCCTGGTTGGTAAACAGCTGCTATTCAAAACTCCTGGGCTGGGCGCAGTGGCTCAAGCCTGCAAATCCAGCACTTTGGGAGGCCGAGGAGGGCGGATAACGAGGTCAGGAGTTCAAGACCAGACTGGCCAACATAGTGAAAACCCTGTCTCCACTAAAAATACAAAAATTAGCCAGGTGTGGTGGCAGGTGCCTGTAGTTCCAGCTACTTGGGACTACTTGGGAGGCTGAGGCAGGAGAATCGCTTGAACCCAGGAGGCGGAGGTTCCAGTGAGGTGAGATCGTGCCACTGCACTCCAGCCTGGGCAACATAGCGAGACTCTGTCTCAAAAAAACAAACAAAAACTCCCAATGATACTCCTTTGCCCTAGACATCCAGATGCCTCCATATCTCTTCATGACCAAGCAGCATCTAATGGGATAAAACCTAGCACGGCAGAGTTCTCCAGGATTCTGCTCCAGTTGAGGCTTCTGTTCTGATTAGTTGGTTCCTGCACCAAACAAGTCAGCAAACATTTTAAGCACCACCCTGGCTATCTGGACATCATGATTTCCTATCACTCATTTGCCCTGCTTCATTGTATGGTTACGTACATTTATCTGTGGGAAAGAGGAAAGGATTTTATACAAATTAGACTTTCATATAGACTTTATTAAAACAAAGAGATGAATTTAATTTCTTATCTGATACTAGACAACATTTTTTCACTTGTTGAACACAATTAGATTGGAAATACCTTTGTTGTCAGCAGCAATGAAACCAAGGATGTTTTCATGTCGCAGCATGACCGTCTGGTAAATTTCTGCCTCACGAAACCAAGATCTTTCATCTCTGGAGGAGAATATTTTCACAGCCACATCTTCCCCACACCATCTTCCATGCCACACCTCACCAAATCTACCTTTTCCTACTATTTCCTGAAGCACAATCGTCCTTGCAATTGTCCTTTGAACCAACAGAGGTAGACCTAACCAAAGAAAAGATGGAATTGATGATTAAACACAAATGCCAGAAAAGAACTCTCA